CGAGCTGAGGCGCTGTTGCGCGCCCGCCGAGATCGGCAACGCCTGCCGGCGTAAGCCCAGTTTCGGGTTTAGGGTTTAGGGTTTAGGGTTTAGGGTTTAGGGTTTAGGGTTTAGGGGTTAGGGAGTTTAGGAACCATGAAGCCGCGACTGCTACCCGCCCAAACATCCCGTCGGAAGCCCTGCTAAACCCTAAACCCTAAACCCTAAACCCCGGAAGCCCTGCAGCGTCCGGCGACAGGGCCGGGATGGTGTCACCACCCCTGAGGTGCACCGTCAGCCGCGGCCCCGGCGTGGGTGAAGGGGGACATGCAGTCCTCAGAGAAGGACTGGGTGTAGGGTTTAGGGTTTAGGGTTTAGGGTTTAGGGTTTAGGGTGTAGGGTTTAGGGTTTAGGGTTTAGGGACTCAGCGAAGGACTGACCCAAACCCATAAACTCGACATCCCAAAATCGATACTCTATTCGAACATACTAGAGTAGAATATAGGAGCTTTCCGGATAAAGCTCATGGGTCCAAGGCCTCTGGGCTCGGGGTTCAGAATTTTCTGTCATACCTGGGCCCCGACGGAGCCGACCGTGTTCGGTTCTTGTATGGGGCATGAGAACAGGGGGGAGTTCCTGTAGTTAGTTCTCTAAAGAACAAGGAGGGTTCATATGGTCCAAGTATCTTGTAAGGTCGAAACCCTAAACCCTAAACCCTAAACCCTAAACCCTAAACCCTAAACCCTAAATCGAAATCGCTGCAAGGCCTTAGCCCCAAAGGCCTTCCAGGCCCCCCCCCCCCCCGCCCAGCACTGGAAAGTACCTATTTAGGGTTTAGGGTTTTGGGTTTAGGGTTTAGGGTTTAGGGAAGAGACCTACACTCGAAACCTTACTCTGGTTCCCTGTTGGGGCTATATCAAACATGATCATGTTTAATCCATATTGGGTTTTCTTGTAACGAACATGTCCAAAAAAAAATGTATCCAGCAAGGACCCAGGATTCAAAGCTTCATTGGCGGTTATTTGCTTGTATAGGGGTTTCAAAAAGTTCTGTAAGGGTGCTAGTGGGTTCTATAAGGATGGTCCTTAAACTCAAACCCGCCGTCCGGAAACCAAAAACTACGAATCCTTCAACTCGGTCCAGAAGCCACAAACTCTCAACAGCACCATAATATAGGGGCCTTAATAAGTAGAATAGGGTTTTGGGGTACATTATACTACAAGTATAAAAAGGATCCTCCAAAAAATATAAGTAATTATTAAGGCCTCTATAATACACAGGTAATTATTAAGGCCTCTATATTACACCTCCGAGCCCAGGCTTAAAGCCTAAACTCCCAAACAGCCCAAGGGCCGATTCAGCAAAGGAAAGAGAACAGTCTGGAGAAACCTGGCAGGCACGTTCCTCTACGAGGCTTCTGCACTTGGGAATGTAATGTAGGGGCCTAAATAATTACCTGTACTATTTTGGGGGTTCCTTATGATAAATTTAGTATAATATACCCCAAAACCCCATTCCAATCATCAAGGCCCCTATATTAGGGGTTTCGGGATCCAGGGGTATCGCGGCATAGGGTTCAGAAAGTTTCCAGAAAGGGATTTGAGGCTTTAGCTCTTGTTTTGGGGTTTTAGGGTTCAGAGTTTAGGGTTGTGGGTTTGGGGGTCAGTGGTGTAAGTGTACGGATTGTGGCCAATGGGTGTGGAAATTGACAGAGACGCGTGCCCTTTCGGCAGAGTGCAGACACAACAGGTTGTGACATGTATGCAATGTGTGTATGTAAGCTGCCTACGACTATGATTCTGCGATTTTTGCAATGCTTTGATCGATCCTTACAGTCCCTATGACTACCCGAAACCTCTAAACCTTAAACCCTGAAGCCTAAATCCTAAACCCTAAACCCTAAAGCCTACACCTATCACCATGGTGCGATGTACCCGAAACCACCGTTTTAGGCTCATCGGTCCCCCTGCCTCCGGCGAAGAGGCAACGTCAGCTCGGAGCTGAGGAAGCTGCCCTGTCAATGCAGGGTTCAGGGTTGAGGCTTTAGGGTTTAGGGTTTAGGGTTTAGGGTTTAGGGCTTAGGGTGTAGGGTTTAGGGTTTAGGGTTTAGGGTTTCGGTTCCCTGTCTAGTGTGCCCAGTAGAGGCTGTCACAAGCTACCCAAAGGGTCCCTACCGTCGCTTAGGAAACTAATTTCTGGACTTCTTCCTGGTAGCCGACTCATGCCGTTTGCTACAGGGCCTACATAAGAAGGTTCCGGCTTTGGGGTCCATCATACTATAACTCATAGGGACTACAAGGGCCTGTTATTGCTAATCTTAAGAAACTGTAGGGTGCCAAATAACCCAAAACCCTAAACCCTAAACCTGGTTCTGGCGTATGTTCTAGTATTTTTATGGCAAGGGACCCTAAGGGACAACATTGGCATTCACACTAGCTTAGGGTTTAGGGTTTAGGGTTTAGGGTTTAGGGGCTTCTATATTACTATCAACGGAAGAGTTCAGGAAGCTACACTTCAGATATCACCCCCTTCAGCACAGCATCCCTTTACTCCTAGGCATCATGATCTAGGGCTTAGTGTTTTCAGGCGGACTTCAAGAAATGCCACAACAGATACTGCTACCCAAGACCCCAATCGAAAGACCCCCGTAACATCGGCCACAACAGATACTGCTACCCAAGACCCCAATCGAAAGACCCCCGTAACATCGGACCCATGTAGTAACATCCAAACTCGAAAACGTCCTCAAAACAACTACATTCCACTGCCGCCCCGCCACCTCGCCAGTTCCCAGCGAGCTTCTTGACCATACCGTGGCGGCGGAGACGCCGGCCGTCTGGCTGGGCGCGCCCGTGCCTGCGCCAAGGGCAGCCCACAAAGGCAGCTTTTCGGATTTACAGGAAGCTAGTAATGAAACCAGGATTCCTGCAAAGGTTCTATCAGAGCAATTACAGGGGGCCGCCGTAAAGGCTTAGCCTTCTGTTGCAACGACCTGTGGCCGGAGTTTCGAGCCAGGTTTGAGAAGCCCAGCGAAATCCGATACTTTAGGGTTTAGGGTTTGATGAGATGCTGAAAGTTGGAGTATGAAGTTCAGGTGTTTGCTGGACCGCAACCCTGAATGGTTTCGAGCCGAATAGCAGACAAGGCCAACAGACCCCGGACAGCAACTGAAGCCTCTTGTGGCGACCTTGCTTGGGGGTCCTGCTGGTAATCAACACATACTTCGGAAACGATTCCAGACAGGATCCCCCCAAAGCCTGAACCTTAACCCCGAGCCCCTAAACCCTTAACCCTGAGCCCCCAAAATCATAGCCCTGAGCCCCCAAAACCTAAGCCATGAGCCCCGAAATTCTAAACCCTGAGCCCCCAAAATCCAAGCCTTGAGCCCCAAAAATCTAAGCCCGGAGCCCCCAAAACCTAAACCCTAAGCCAGTAATACCTAAACCCTGAGCCCCTAAAACCTTGTCACCAAACCTAAACCCTAAGCCCCTCATACCTAAACCCTGAGCCCCTAAACCTGTTTTTGGAACGAACCCTCTCTGGTGCCTTGAGCTGTTCTCTGCCGCTTCCGAAGGGCAGCCACCTGAGCTCATGGTGGTGGCTGTCTTAGTACTTAGGGTTTAGGGTTTAGGGTTTAGGGCTTAGGGTTTAGGGTTTAGGGTTTAGGGTTTAGGCTTAGGGCTTGGAGCCCTAAACCGTAAACCCTAAAGCCTAAACTCTAAACCCCAAAGCCTAAACCCTAAAGCCTAAACCCTGAAGCCTAAAGCCTAAACCCTAAACCCTGAACTCCCCAAACCCCAAAACCTCAGGCCCCTCAGCCCGAGCTTCCCAGGCCCCCCCCCCCCCAAAGGCACCCGAAGTCTCTTGCAAGAACCTTCCCTAAACCCTAAACCCTAAACCCTAAACGCTGCTAAACCCTAAACCCTAAACCCTAAACCGTTGTCCTTCGAAGTCTCCCGCACATCCCTGACCTACAGAGTTAGCCCCAAAGGATCGAATTCAGAGTTTCGGGTTTAGCAGCGTTTAGGGTTTAGGGTTTAGGGTTTAGGGCTTAAGGTCAGGATTCCGTGATCTCTGGCTCTCGTAACTAGAACGGATTTATGCTGCTGGGCTTTATGCTGCTACGCTATAGGTACACTAAACCCGAAACCTACCGGCTGAATGTCGGGGTGGGAGGGGTTTAGGGTTTAGGGTTTTGGGTTTTGGGTTTTGGGTTTAGGGTTTAGGAGAACTAACTCTAATAGAAACGGTTTCGGATCTAGGGTTGGCGCTTTACGTGTTTTTTAAGGGTTTAGGGTTTAGGCTTTAGGGTTTTTGTTAAGTGAACTCCCTAAACCCTAAACCCTAAACCCTAAACCCTAAACCCTAATTTTCTCCATCCAGGCGAGACTTGCCCCGGAAGGCATACACTCGGTTCGCTCAGCATGCAGGAAGCCCAGAGCCGCTTTAGAGCGTAGGGCTTTTTTGGTTTTGGGTTTGGTTTTGGAGGGATTAGGGTTTAGGGTTTAGGGTTTAGGGTTTAGGGTTTTGGGTTTTGGGTTTTGGGTTTTGGGTTTAGGGTTTTGGGTTTGGTTTTGGAGGGATTAGAGTTTAGGGTGCCACCACCCTTTTTTTCGACTAAACTTTCAGTGAGGCCAGCCCGCAAAAGACAATATATACATGTGTACTGCTGGGGCACCTAAACCTAGCCTAAACCCGAAAGGAAAAAAAACTAAAAACCTAGAACGTATCGGGACTGTAAGGGGGCAAAACGGCTTATAACTTTTGCCAGGCGACCACCGTCGCATCACGGCGGATGGACTCCGGGACGGATAGGGGCACCTGTTTGGTATGCCGGCAGATAGGACTGACGAGGTGCTTCTAAGGATTTGGAAGCCTTGATTGGGGGGTTTTGGATTCTTTTGGGATTTGGGGATTAGGGTTCCGGGCTAAGCGTCAGGGTTCAGGGTTTGGGGTGTGGGTTCTCTCGCTTCGAAGCTTCGCATTGGGGTTTAGGGCCGTTTAGGGTTTGGGGAATCGATCGTCCCGAGCCGTCTCAGAGTTGTAAAAGGTTGGCGTGGGACTGCGAAACACGTTTCATAAAACTGTAGAGGGAAAACCTAATTCTTGAAGCAAGCCACCTAGCACTGTAGTTCTTAAACCCGGAATGTCCATGATACCACAAACCCTATCACCAGAAACCCACCCCTGTACCCCGAGACCCCCAAACCCGGAAAACCCGAACCTCGTTCTTAGCAGAAACCCCGTAAAGAAGGTACAACCGATCTTAGGGTTTAGGCTTTAGCCTTTCGGGTTTAGGGTCTACTCTTTTTTTGAAGGACTACCCTGAAACACCCTGTACACTCAATCCTTAACCCCAAATGCTAAAACCCTCACACAGGGGTCTCGATCACCGGAAGAAGGGTTTTGGGGTATATTGCACACTAATTAACATGGTAATTATTTCGGTAGTCCTCTAAATTAAGCTCCTTTTGAGTCCCCAAAATTGGTACGGCACCCCCTAACTTAGAGAACTACCCATCAAAGCCCAGAGATAGTATCGGTAATTCGGTAATTATGGAGGCCCCCACGTCACTCCCTCAGCCCTGTGCTCGAGGACTACCCTGAAACTGCCTCTACCCTGACCCCTCAACCCCCTAAACCCTAAACCCTAAACCCTAAAACCCCAAAACCTAAACCCTAAACCCTACACCCCAAAACCCCAAAACCCCAAAACCTAAACCCTAAACCCCAAAACCCTACTCCCTGAGCCCTCCGCCCACACCTCCAGCAGTTGGCCCAAGAGACCCGGGAGATCCTCCCCCGGTCGGGAGAAGAGGTGGTGCCCGCGGCTCAAGACCACCCCTGCACTTTTGGGGTCTAGGGGTTTAGGGTTTGGGGGTTTTAGGGTGTATGGTTTAGGTTTTGGGCTTTGGAAACCGTGGGAGTATAACATAAGGGCCTCAACACTAAGAATAGGGCTGCGGACGGTTTTTGCAGGGAGTTATACAAGGCCTTGAAGATTTTTTACAAGGGTGTCTTTCTCGTGGCCTTCTTCGAGTGTAGGGTATCATATATTTAGGGTTTGGATTTTAGGGTTTTAGGGTGGGGTTTGGCTGGGTTTGGCTTGAGCGCATGATGCGTCACACGAGAGCCAAGAAAACAAAAATTGCAGAGAGAAAAAAACCCACCTTGGCCATTCGTCTGCACAGCAACTGCCATGGCATTGGCCAAGTCCAGCAGTAGGTTCCCGAGGCGACCCTGTCATCGGCAAAAACGTGAAGTGTTCAGGGTTGTCTAGTCAGAATCAAGCATGTCTGGTGCAGGTGTGAGTGTTTACGCTTGAAGGTGAACAATACACCAAAAACACATTGACTTGGATCATGGGCTGTGCAAATTCGTCTTGGGCACGCAGCTGGAAAACCCGAAACTCTCAACGCGTCTACACAGCCACCCTGAAAAAAAAACTGCTCCTCCGTCGGAACGCCTGGCCCATGCAAACCCTAAACCCTAAACCCCTAAACCCTTAACCCTAAACACGAAAACGACGAGGTAGCTTAACCCCTAGCGCCGGAAGCTTAGTCTCCAACGAAGGTGTCATACAGAGCTTCGAAACTGTTTGTAATGCTTCCCCTTTAGAGTCCCTGTACCTTTCTGCTATTTATAGAGCTTTTGGTCAATGTTTAGAACTTTTTAGAGTCCCATATCTTTGCCCCTGAACTCTTAAGCCCTATACCCTACCCTAAACTCTAAACCCTAAACCCTAAACCCTAAACCTTAAGCCTTAAACCCCAAACCCTAAACGGTTTAACCCTCAACAAGGCTCAGGTAAAAGAGCCCTTCCCCCCACCTAAACCCATCAGGGCAGGGTGGGTTTTTGAGCCCCAAGAGACCCCAATACAGGGGCTTTGAGGATTATAGGCAACCCTAAACCCTAAACCCTAAGCCCCTAAACCCTAAACCCTATTGAAGCTCACTATTTAAGACTAGCTAGTCCGGCTTCTGTATTGAATCCTAAACGCCCTGATGGCCCCAAAACCTCTCCACTCCCTGAGCCCCTGGTCCCCAGAAAACCCTGAACTCACAGATGGCCTAAGCCCCTAGAGCGGCAACTCTTGTTCGTGTAACAGTGTCTTCTGGGCTTAGTTTTTTTTGGGGTGACGTTCGGGCGTATGAAAACCCGAAAAAAAGTGCAAGCATGATCAATGATCTTTGGATTTCAGGAATGTGGGAGAGGACACAAGTGCCCCCTAAACCCTAAACCCTAAACCCTAAACCCTAAACCCTAAATTGTGAGCCACAGCCACGTTGGACTGGGACTTCATGGGCTGCCTGCCCTCTAGCGCTTGCTACTGCATGGGTAAGGGTTTAGGGTTTAGGGTTTAGGGTTTAGGGTTTAGGGTTTAGGGTTTAGGGTTTAGGGTTTATCACCTGAGGTGCTGTAGAAAAGAATGCCCTGCAAAAAGAAAGAGGCGCCACAGATGCCGACCGAGCTTTGCGTGAGCTCGCGATTTTGCGAGAGTTGAAGGGTTTAGGGTTTAGGAGACGACAAGGTGGTGAAGGCTCTGGAAATCGTCGCCAACACAGAAAAGGTGCAAGACAATGTAAAAATGGAGGTTTTCCATTCTGATCTCGCTAAGCTGTTCTGCATGGATTTGATGCTGTCGGCAGAACAGGGTCCCGGTGGAAGCATTCGTTGCAAGGCCTCCTTCAAAACACCACTCCATATCCTTTCTTCCAGCTTCCTGCCCCCTAAACCCTAAACCCTTAGCAAATCATGCGAGAGTCTTGAGCTCCTCGCTCACCTTAAGCCTCAACAACCCTCAGGCCTCCATGAAAGCCCCGAACCCCAAGGCCCTGAGGGTTTAGGGTTTAGGG